TCGCAGATTTATATAGTTCCACCTTCTCGGGTCTTCTCCTTCTTTCCTTCTCTTGCAGTGCATTCGGTGCCTGAATCACATTTCGAAAGTACTCTTTGTATCTACTATCAACTGAGCCTGCTCTCGAAAAACATTTCTGTAACTGGTGTCACATTCAATTAAGTCTTTCTAATCGGGGTATTCCGGGTGGAGTGTCTTTGCTGACAACACAAACAAATGACAACATCAAAATCATTCGCATTTCTACCCAGTTCACCTGTGTTGTTCGTGTTCGTATCTTTTCACAGTAATAAAACATTCCGCTTTGTGCAGAAGTATCGGTCTTACACCCGTTCCATGAACCTTTTGACGGCATCACATAAAATGCCGTTTTCCGCCTCCATTTGAGGCACGATTTTTCGACCGATTTATGTATTCATTGCAGAACATCCCGTTGTTTAACAGTGGAACCAAGATGCTTATAATCTTGGGCTTTACATAGCACGCTTTCCGTTACTTTCACCGATTCGCTTGTTCTCCAAACCGAAATATCCCACAATGTATCTCGACCTACGTTGGTTGATCCTAAAGTCGTTTTCCTCTACGACTTTTCTCAGTGCTTCGATTTTTGCTTCTACCGCTTCTCTGCCTTTACTGCTCAGCATCATATAATCTTCTTAAATAATTCTGCATGAGGTAGCTTCCTCCACACTTCAGTCACCATTGAGAACAGAAACTGACTAAATGCTGAACCGCGATGGACCGGCACAAGGAATTTATGTCGCCGCAACTACCTGGAACTATCGCATCATGGAACAGCACAAGTGCGTTCTGAGGCATACGAAGTTTAACGGCCTATAATTTTCAAAATACTGTGAGTTATTTAAGTAGGTGTAGAGTTCTATAAAGCGATATATTAATTTAAAGGATTTACTAAATATGTAATGTACAATTTGCAGGGAAACATGCATGTTGAAAATAACTGCAAAAGATAGGAAGACGAATGAATCGGCAAGAGCAGAGTACAAGGGACATAATGTCATTGCACGAATCTGCTAGAATTTAAAGTGACAATGTGCAGGACACGCTACTAGAAAAAATAACAACGCTGGATCAAAGACACCGAGGACCAGGTTCCAAGAGAGATTAAACGGATCGTACGAACATCTCAAGAATGATGGTAGGATGATCGACAGAAGTTCGCTGGATCAAGATGTATGAAAATGACAGAAAATCCAAGTCTATGGAAAATTCTTGCATAAGCCATGATCCAGCAATGTATCGACAATGGCTCGTGATTACGATGAAATGCCGTCATGTCTTTCGTTGAAATTCTGCCCCCTCACTGAAGTCACTCAAAAATGCACCAACAAAGACAACGCATACAGACCAAAACG